GTCTTGACCATTCATTCATTCATTGCACAAATATTTATGGAGGATTTGCTATGTGCGAGCTGGTGCTATGAAACCAGCTGCTATGAAAGCTGGTTGGTGCATGGGTTGGTGGGTAAGAACCCCTTGGGAGTATGATTAACAATATAGATTCCAGGACCCCATTTTTGTAGGTTCTTATTCATTAGGTCTTGGGTGAGGCCTGAGATTTTGATTTTGATACTCTCTCCAGCGACTCTGATGGTCAGCCAAGCTAGGGCACTACTGGACGAGCTAAAGGTCCACCCAATTCTGCCTGATTCTCCCTCTGTGCCATCAAAGAATACCATGTTGCTCAAGGATGGAAAGGATGGATGCTTATTCCATTAAGACTGCTACTGTGTGGCCCCTCTTTGGGACCTGCTTACACAGTCACCGACTGGGGAAACTGAACCAGTCTCTCCATTTTACTTGTAGGAGAACCAAGGGCCAGAGGAGAAGTGAAAACTCTCAAGGCCACACAGCCAGCTGGGCAGAGAATTTCAATTCCTGCCTTCTAGTCCAGTACTCTTCCCCACACCGTCTCCCAAATGGGACTCCTAGTCTGATCCCTCTTCTTAATTCACTGGACTCTGCCCCCCCAGGATTCTCAATGGCGTCCAAAAAGTAAACCCTTCCTCATCAGCGTGTGAGCTCCATGAGGCCAGGGGTCACGTCTGCCTTATTCACTGCTGGGTCTTCAGTGTCCTGGCCCATGAGATACACCCAGCTGGTGCTTCGTAATGAATGGATGAGAGATGGAGTGAAATCTCAGCTGGAGGTTCAGAAGGTCATGCTCCTGGGGGGATGGAGAGGGGCAGTCCTAGTGCATAAGAGGACAGGCTCTGGGGTCTTACAGAGCTGGGTTCGAATCTCATTTGCTATCTGAGAGCTTTGGACACATTACTTAACCTCTCTGAGCTTCGATTTCTGCATTAGCAGAATGGCAATCAGAAGAACACTCACCGGATAGTTTTTGTCTTGACTGAATGTTATAATATACGTCCAGTGCTTAGCACAGGGGCTGACACTAAGCAAGAAGGTGCTCCATAAATGTCAGCTGCCTTTATGAGAATCGTCATCATTATTATTATGCTCACTTGGACCTGGGTTTCCTTCTATGCTTGTTAAAAGGAACTGACCACAGAGCTCCTTCATCCCTCGCTTTTGGGCCTATTACTGGAGCTGTCAGCCATTCCTGTCAATCACCCAACACTGGCCTCCTCAGCCCCACCCGATGGGCAGGGCCTCCCTGTATTTCATGGGAGGAGCCTACTCTTTAGCCGGGTGGGATCCTGGGTGATTTTAAGATCCTTCTTTTTGTTTAGCTCTATTTCTTCAACGTTCTACAATAACCATGTATTACCTGAACAGCAAGAAAAAAGAAAACTCAAACAAGATAAGAAAAGCATACTAGGGACATGTCCCTGCCTGCTGCTCTCTTCCTACTCTGGAAGGGATTGGGCAAGGACACACTTTAGCTTCCTTTTTTACTATCAAGTTATAATTAACAAAAATTATCATTCTTTACAATTCTTCACCCATGCTCAGCATTTTTTCATGCTCCAGACAGCGCTCACTTCTGTGAAATTGCATAAGAACTTTTTAAAACCAGCTGGTAAGGGAGGCAGGAACGATCAACCCATTGATAAATTGAGAAAACTGAAGCCCAGAGCGGGGAAGTCAGAGGGAGTACGTCAGTTGCACAAAGCTACACAACTGGTCAGAAAAGAAAGAGGGCTTCACCTCAGGCATTTTGGTGCTAAAACCAGTGTTCCTTCCTCTGCACCATGTGGGTGGGTGGGTGGAGTGGGACGAGGGTGCTAATAAGGAGGAGGCTGGAGGGGGAGAAGCACATCCTGGGATGTCTGCAGGGAGGGGGTCAGTGGACCCAGAAAAGGGCCGGGTCATGAGCTCCCTCTGCTTTTGGTTGGAAAGGCTGCTTAGGAGCTGTGGGTTTTGGGGAGTGCTGAGGATGGCCCCTGCCCTGTCCTTGCTCTGTGGTGTCCTTGGAGTCTGGTAATAGGCTCAGCATCCCTCCCCCAAGTCTTGTTTGCTGTGTCATACCAGTTTCTCAGCCTCCCAGGTGTCCATGACCACCAGCGTGGTGTCCTCTCCATCCACTGTGAGGGTCCTCTCGTACACATCTTCTGCAACCGAGGAAAGAGCCGGAGCTCAGAGAGGTCTGGGGAGGGTGTGGGTACCTCCAACGCCCGCTTCTGGTCACAGTGCCCCCTCCACTTCTCCTTGAAGTGCTTACCACACTTGTCTGATGCTTGTCTCTCCTGATAGGTCAAGACAGAAGCTCCACGAGGAGCCCATGTCTCCCCAGCTACCAGTACAGTACCTGGCACATAGTAGGTGCTGAAAAAGCTATTGTTGGTGTGGTGGATTGAATGGATGTGGGCTGATGGGGTTGAAGCTGGGCTGGGGATTCTCCCAGTCCTGCTCTGTGCCTGGCTTAGTGTATGCTTCAGGCAGGTCACATTACCCTCTCTGAGCCTCAGTCTCCCCATCCGTCACACATACAGGGGTACACATGGATGCCTCTCATATGGGTTCTCACTCTCAGAGGGCTCAAGGCTGGGGCCTGACCAGAGTGTCCCCACCTTCTCTCTGCTTTTAACCAACCCCCTTCCCCGTTCATCTTTTGCCCTTTCAGCCAGTCCTGCAGGAATCCATCTTCACTTCCTCTCTCCTGTCCCTGTTCCCCATCATTGCTGGAGCCCCTGGCCCTCTCAGCTCACTGCCTCTTTTGGGAGTAAAGGAACCCAGAGCCCAGTTCTTGGAGTCTGGGAGTCTATTCTGGGCAGGATCTTACTTTTGCTGCAGATCCTGGTGGCCGTGGATGGGACTGGGAGGACCTGAGAGTCAGGGGGAGCTGGGGCTGGCAGTTTCTGAGCTGGGTGGAAGTCCACCATTTCTCTACTCTCAGAACTGCTTTCCTTACCACATGGAAATGAATCATACACCTCTCATCCATGAGAAATTGGCAGAATTCTCATTCGCTATTCAAAGAATTTCCCTCCCGTCGACCATTGTGCAGGCTGCACAACTCTAGGAGGGCACTGTTCACTCCACAGCACCTCTTAGCATCGAGCAGTGCATGCGTTGTACAACTGTTCTTGGCAGCCTTGTGACCCTGATGACAGTGCTTTTTATGCCTCTGGCCACATCCCAGCTCAGCCCACAGGGTCCCTACCTCCCAGCTGTTCATGGAGGTCCCGCTCTTGCTTCCCTGCAAAGAGGCTGGCCAGGCTGGTCTTCCCTACGCCAGGATCTCCAAGCAGTACCACGCGGTAGAGGGCCTCCCAGGAGCCTTCAGAGTCGCTGGATTCAGAGGACCAACCGTTGGGGGCAGGTGAAGGTTTCCGGGTGGGAGGGTTGAGGGAGGCTGACTGGCCCAGCCGGGGATGCTGGGATTGCGTGGAGGGCGCTGCGCACAGGAGGCCAGGCTGGTGGCCCCGGGGGGACAGGGGCAGAGGAGTGCTGGCTCGACGATGCAGGGGGGTCTTTGCTTCTTGCTGAGTGTTTAGTGTCATCCTTGGGAGGGGGACTTGGCTCCTTCCTTCCTTCTGTGAGCAAGAAGGGAGAATGGGCGGTGAGCCGGGTGCTTTGAGCCCCCCTTCTTCTGTAGAGTCCTGACAGCTGCTGAGATGGCCTCCTCCAGAGCCCCCTCTTGAGTTCACATGGGAGGAGGAGGAGTCTGGGCTCCTTGGGGTGCGGGCTTTCTGGCTTCAGGCCGAGGGTATACCTGGGCCAGGCTGGGAGGAGTGAGTGTGCGAGCTGTGAACGCACACATGCATGCACACCCAGAGGCCATTTCCTATGCCTTGAGGATGACCCACTCCCCATGACACAGTCAGGCAGAGAGGCAGCAGTGAGGCGGGACGTCCACACAAGCACGCACACACTTGTGTACACAGACCTGCCCTTCCCATTCAGAACATGCCGTCCATGCTCTGAAAGGCGCCTGAATTGCCCCCTCCTCCCCTTCCCCACAGGACTCTTCACCATGATTCAGGGTTGGGGGGTACAGAGGAGAGTTGAGGGCCCCTCAACTTGCTCACTTCCACTGCCCCATCTCACGAGGGCTGAGGAAAAGGCAGGAGGGGGTGGGCTGGTACTCCGAAGGGCGAGGGGGATCTGGGGGTTCCCTCTGGCTGAAACCGGAGCGCTCTGGTGCCATGGGAACGGCGTGTCTGGCCCGCCCTTTACGTGAAAAATTCAGGAGAGGTTGGCGCGACGGCCTCCAGCTGCTGTTGGGGAGCGGGGCTTCGAGACAGCCGGGCCCCAGGTTTGGAGACAGGACAGGGTCCTGGCGGGGGTGGGGGCTGGGAGGAGAAGACCCAGAGGGCCCGGGAGCGGATATGTCATTCCCCGAGTCTGAGTCCGAGCTCACCCAGCCCGGGGTCCTGGGTGCGAATCCCCCGGTCCCGGGAGGGTTCCCTGTCCGAGACTCCCCAACCCTCGGGGCCCCAGGTCGGAGGACCCTCACCCCCGGGAGGCAGGTTCGAGGCCTCCCTCGCCCCTGCCTACGCCGCAGAACCCCCCCACGCAGGCGCCTGGCGAACTCCGCTCCAACTTGACTAAGTTGGCGGCGGGCTGCGCCGGCCTTTACCTCGCCGTGGGGAGGGGTCCAGGGTCCCCGGCCGCCGCAGCCGCCGGCCGCTCCAGGCTGTACCACCGCCGCGGCGCGCAGCCCCTCGGGCGGTCCCGCCCCGTCGCTCCGGCGGGGGAGGAGCCGCGACCCCGCCCCGTCCAGCCCCGCCCCATTAGGGCAGCCCCGGGGTCCCCGCCCCAAGGCCTTGGCCACTGAATGACTTTTCGCAGAGCTCAGCTGACCCGCTGCCTCAAGGGCTTCGCCTGGGGTGGGAGTGGCGGTGGCGGTGTTGGGGTGGAGGGCCAGAGAGAGGAAGGATGGGGATTCTCGATTCCTGGGTCTGGTTCCCCTCTGCCTCCGCATCTGTCCACTTCAGCCATGAGGCGCACCGACTTTCTCCCTCACAAGAACCGCTTGGAAAGCTTGTTAAATATTCAGGTTCCAGCTCCCACCCTCCAGGAGAGGCAGATTCGGCAGTCCTGGGAGAAGAGTTCGGCAATCTGCGTTTTAAACAAGTGTCCAAGAGACCCTGATGCGGAGTTCATGGATCCCACTTTAGAAACTCTGCTCTGGATGGAAAATTAATTTTGGGAGGTGGCTTGAGGGGAGGAGGGAGCCCAGGAAATCTGCACTGAAGAGTTCTGAATATCTTATTTTAGCATCATTCATTCATTCATTCACCAAATTCTGGGTTAAGTACCCCTTACGCAGCTAGGGCTGGCCAGTGCCTGGAAGAATGGCTATGCCCTCTGATGAATATTTACTGAGCACTTGTGCTGTGCCTGGTATGGTATGTGCACTTTTCACCAGCTCGTTTAATCCTGACACAACACTAAGAGGAAGAGAAAACTTACCTGGGCCTGAGACTCAGGTCTCTGCTTCTCAGCCCATTGTCCCTTTCTATCTTGGCCCATGACTTTTTTTTAAATAGCTTCCCAGGCCTAGAGGAGGAGGAAAGAGACACTATGATCTCGGTATAGGAGAGAAGTTGGCTGTAGGGAACTGGTGGTTTTGGCCTTCCGTGGGGCCAGGATCCAGTCTCTTTGAGGAGGGTGCTTCCTTTTCAGTCATGAGGGACTGGGGCCAGTATGTTTATGGGGCCCGCAGAGACCGGGCTGTACCTGTGGGTGGGGCTCCTTGTCATGGGTGAGGGGGTCCAGGTGTCCGGCCCAGAGCACTCCCACAGCAGCCTGGTGGACTAGCTCAGCCCCCGCAGGGCTCTGGGCAGACACTGAACCCCCTCATGCCTGGCTTCCTCCTGAGATTTGGCCCTCCAAGCTTCCCCTTCCCACCTACAAGATGGGCTGCGAGTGGTTCGCTGTTGTACGTTGTCCGGGAGGGAGGCATCGTAGTTTAGAAGTCCCAGCTCTGCAGCTCAGTGGCTGTATGGCCTTAGTCAAATCACCTCCCTTCTCCGGGATTCAGTTTCTCTGTTTAAAACTGAAATCTGAACAGGTTACACCCTTGCTACAAAACTTACAGTTGTCTGCAATACAAAAGCCTGAACTTGACCTTCAAGGCCCATGGCGCTCTGGCTCCTTTCCTCTGCAGGGTCATTTTCAATCTCTCCTCCCAACAAATCCTTTGCTCTGGTTACGCCCCACTCCTTCAGGCACATTCTATTCCTTCTGTCTGGAACACCCTTTCCTCTACTCATCTTTCAAGATGCGGCTCAGATGACTGTGTAGCAGACGCTGTTCTAAGCTCTGTACACAAATTCTCTCAGTGGTCCTCAGACTTTAGCGGTGCAATAGCATCTCTTGGAGGATTTGTTAAACCGCAGCTGGCTGGGACCCACGCCTAGAGCTTTGATTTTGTAGGTTTGGGTAGAGCTTGATAATTTGCATTTCTAACAAGCCCCAGGGTTTGTAGCTGCTTGCTGCTCTGTGTCCTACACTTTGAGAACCACTGTATTATTTCGTTTAATCTTTAAATGTGCTAGGCAGCCATTACGCTCTATGAGGTAGGTACTATTACTCTTCTCATTTTCTGAATAGGCCTAAATATGTGCCTGTTTGAACAGGTTTCTGGTCCCATCTCCTGGGCATCAGGAAGGGAAACCTCCATGTATTTAGCTTTGCAAGGGGGGCTTGTCATCATTTCCTAGATGACAGCCTGGGGCTCAGAGAGGCTGAGTGACTTGCTCAAGGTATCACAGCGATCAGGGGGAGATGCTGGCATTGAACCAGGTCTCTCTGAAGCCAAGGCTTTCCCTACCCTCTCAGGTGGGGAAGATGTCCAGTTTCTGACCCAGGCATTGCTTCAGGAAATCCTGTCCCCGGCTTCAGAGCTCAGTAACCTCCAGAGGGTATGGCTGACCAGTTCCCCATGTCGTTGGCTGAGATCCAGCTGTAGCCTTGGGCCCACAAGGCCTCAGACTCCCACCTAGGTCTCCTGCTGCCTACACTCCTGCCTGGATCTGTAGCCCAATAAAGGCTGGGCCGCAGGCAGCAGGCTCAGGTCGCTTGGCTCGTCTCCTCTTGTGTTCTCCCCTGTGGCCTCCCCAGGAGCCCTGTGGCCATGACACAGCTGCTTCTGCTCATTGTGGCTCTCCTGGTCCTGGGTCATGTGCCGCCAGGTAACATCGCCTGTGTGTGTGAGTGTGTGTGTGTAGAAAGGAGGACTGGCTCTCAGGGCCTGGGGACAGAGGGGGCCTGGGCCAGTGCTGACGTTCTGGCCCCACCGCTGACTTGCTGGGCAGCTTAGACTGAGTTGCTAAAGCAGCCCGCCCCTCAGTTTCCTAATCTTTAAGATGAGATTCACTCCACAAATATTCACTGGAAAAATATTTCCTGTGTGCCAGGCACTATTACAACTGCTGGAGACCCAGGAGAGACAGAAAACAAGGTTCTTGCCTTTGCAGAGCTGATGTGTTAGTCAGTGGTGACAAAAAATAACCAAATAAACATATAATGTGTCAGATGGTGATAAGTGTTAAGAAGAATAAAAGCAGAACTAGGGGTTCGTGTGACGTATGCTTGTGGGGATGATGGGCGAGCTGATGGGGATGGTCAAGGAAGGCCTCTGATAAGCTTTTTTTTTTGGAAAGTTTGAAATTTACGTGAAAGCAGAGAAAATAATATAAGGCACAAAGCAAGTTTTTAAAAAACTTTTTAGGGGCCAGCCCGTGGCTGAGTTGTTAAGTTCGTGTGCTCTGCTTCGGTGGCCCAGGGTTTCACTGTTCGGATCCTGCGTGCAGACATGGCACCGCTCATCCTGCTATGCTGAGGCGGCGTCTCACACAGCACAACCAGAGGGACCTACAACTAGAATTTACAACTATGTACTGGGGGGCTTTGGGGAGAAGAAGAAGGGGGAAAAAAAAAAGAAGATTGGCAAAGAAGTTAGCTCAGGTGCCAATCTAAACAAAAAAAGACTTTTTATTATGGAAAAATATAAACTCATGCAAAACCAGAGAATAATGTAATGATGTGAGTTTTTAAAAGGAATCTTTTTATTTTAGAAAATTTCAAACATGAATAAAAAAATAGTACAAAAACCCTTATGTATCCATCCCCCAACCTCAACAATTATCAACTTGAACCAATCCTTTTTTCTTTTTCACCTGCCCCTTGTCCCCAGTGAACTATTGTGAAGTATGGTCATGTGCCACATAAGGACGTTTTGGTTAATGATGGATTCATGTACGACTATGGGCCCATAAGATCAGTACCATATAGTTTAGGTGTGTCATATAGCCTAGGATGTTAGGCTATACCGTCTTTGTTTGTGTAAGTACACTCTATGATGTTTGCACAATAACGAAATTACCTAGCAATTCATTTCTCAGAACATATCCCTGTTGTTAAGCAACGCATGACTGTAGTCTCAGATGTCTTCTAACTTTCTGTAAGGAAGGTTTGAGCAGAGATGTGATGACAGAATACAAAGAAGATTGTTGCAGGCAGAGGGAGCGGCAAGGACAAAGGAGGCGGGAGGGTGACAGGTGTGTTTGAGGAGCAATGAGGAGGCCAGTGTGGCTGGAGTCGGGGGCATGGGGAGACGAGTGGAGGGAGAGGAAGTCAAAGGTATGAGGAGAGGACAGCGGATGGTGTAGGAGAAAACGTAACAATTTCTGTATCTCGGGGTTGTTGGAAGGTTGAAATGTGATGACGTGTTAAGAGGAGTTATTATAGGAACTGCCCTCACCTGGGCGTCAGGGCCTTGGGTTTAGGTAGATCCACCACTTACTGGTTAGGAGAAGCTGGATAAGTCCTTTTCCTTCTTTCTTTGTAAAATGAGAGGGTTGGCCTGAATGAGCACTGGTTGTTCCAACTCTCTAAGTTGTCATTCTGATAATCTCCCTTTCCATTTATTGAGTATTTACTACGTGTTCAGGCAATGTGCTCTAGTGATTAAATGCTCTACACAGCCCTCTGAAAGAGACTGGTCCAGATGAAGAATCGGAGGCCAAGGTCATTCAGCTGGGAAACAGCAGAGCTGGGATTCGGACCCAGGCGGTCTGAGCTGGGTTCGCACCACACCGTTAACCGTTATACTACACACCGTCTTCAGAGTGTGGATTCTTTGCCTCGTAGAGATTTTGAGGCCAGCTCTGTATCATTCTAAGATTCCCAGCCTTGGCAGGATGGAAGGATGGGCCGGTTGGCAGGGCTGAATAACACCCATGGGTTGGCCTGGGGTATCGTGAGGATTCTGTGGGGTATCTTAATCCAGGGAGAGGCAGAGGAGCCTTTCCCCTGTACCTCCCAGTCAGCCCCCGTTCTTCTGAGTTGCCAGGTCACCTGTCTAGAAACATCAATGTAACAGACAGGCCTGTCTAAGCGATCCTCCTCGCCCCTCACTTGGCCACATCTGCCCTGACGGCCATCACAGCACCCTGATCGTTTCCTTCAGCGTGTTTACCACTCTACTTATTGTATTTATTTGCTTGGGTTTTAACTGCCTTCCCTGCCGGGAGCTCCTTGAGGGCATGGACCATGCCATCTTGTTCATTGTGGTACCCCTAATGCCCCATGTTTGTTGAATGAATAAATAAAGGAGATGCCCCACTGCATGCTATGATCAAAGACGCTTGGAGGGGGTGCAGGACCTATTCCCCCAAAGCCTTGCCTTTTCCATGCCCATGGTTGGAAATTCCTCCACTAAACCCTAACATTAACAGGTCCCTCTGTGTGTGAGGCAGTTTGTATAATGGTTACGAGTGGGGACCCTGGAGCTGGATTGCCTAGGTTTGAATCCTGGCTCTGCTCCTTAATGGCTATGTGACCATGAGCAAAGTTGTTAGCCTTTCTGTGCCTCAGTTTCCTTGGCTGTATACAGGGATTGTAATAAGACCAACTATAATCGGATAGTGTTGTTATGAAAAGTGCTTAGAGTATATCTGGGATGTGAGTTAACCTGGACAAGAAATTAGTCTCTAACTTGTAACCAGTGGTCTAACTTGCCCCTGTGGGCTAACCTGGACTGAGATCTGTGGTCTAAATTGTCATTGGTTGTCTCATCTATGAGTAGTGGTCTAGCCTGTTATCTCTAGTCTAACTTTTGCCCTGTGGTCAGAGCTCATGTCCCATGGCCTAACTTATGACCTCTGGGCTGCTCTATGACCTGTCATCTAACAGATGACCAGAGAGCTCACTGGTGACTTGTGATCTAACCTGGGCCCTGTGGCCTAACTTGTGGTCTGTGGTCTAAACTGGGGATGTGGCCTAACCCTTGATCTGTGGTTAAATCTGTGACCAGTGGTCTCAACTGGAACCCCTGGGCTGCTCTGTATCCTGTGGTCCAACAAAAGCCCAGAGAGCTAACCTGTGACCAATGGTCTAACCTGTGACTTGTGGCCTAACCCTTGATCTGTGGTCAAAACTGTGAACAGTGGTCTAACCCACAACCCCTGGGCTGCTCTGTGACCTCTGATCTTCCTCTGCATAGGGAGAAGTGAATTCAAACGGTGCTGGAAGGGCCAAGGGGCCTGCCGGACTTACTGCACGAGGCAAGAGACCTACATGCATCTGTGCCCAGATGGCTCCCTGTGCTGTCTCCCCTACGGACTCAAGGCTCCGGCGGCCCCCAAGCCTGAATCTGTGTAGCCGGTCCTGGGGCTGGCACCCTTGCTCTCTAATAAAACACATGCTGCCGACTGTCTCCTCTTGCTGCTCGCTCACTGCCCAGCCACCCCCGGGGCCAGGATTTTTCTACATTCCTTTGTCTCCTATTTTAGCATTTCAAGAGTCTGCCCAGGTGGAAAGGACCATAAGGATTTTATGAAAGTGAAGTTTTCGTGTAAGTAGGGAGGGGTGATAGAGGAAAAGTCTGCTTCTTTCAGGCCCAAGGAACTGTGGGGACAGCAAGGCAGGGGGAAAACACAAGCAGAGTCCGCGAGGTAGCTTGACAGACATGCATTCTAATTACCCTGTATTGGGATTGTGCTTGGCTGAAAAAATAGGAAACTCAACTTGCAGAGGCTTATTTCTCTCACATAAAAAGATATCTGGGGGCTGGCCCGGTAGCACAGCGGTTAAGTACGCACATTCTGCTTCAGCAGCCCAGGGTTCACGGGTTCGGATCCTGCGGGTGGACATGGCACCGCTTGGCACACCATGCTGTGGTAGGCGTCCCACACATAAAGTGGAGGAAGATGGGCATGGATGTTAGCTCATGGCCAGGCTTCCTCAGCAAAAAGAGGAGGATTGGCAGCAGTTAGCTCAGGGAGGTAGGCAGCAACCACATCAGGCAAGCATCTCTGGGATCCTCTTGGGTCACATATAGCTACCAAAACTTTAGGCTTTATGTCATTATTAGAGGGAGGGGTGGAGGGAGAGGTTCCCCCTCTTTCAATGTTCTTGGAGCAGCGGGGAGGGTTGGCATGGGCTAGTTTCTCACTTTTACCTGGAAAGCAAAAGCTTTCCCTGGAACCCCCCTCAGCAGACTTCTGCTTACTTCTCAAAGGACCAGAACAGTGTCACGTGGCTATTGATGTAAGGGAGGCTGGGAAAAAAGTATTTGGCTGTTCTCGCCTCTATAGTAGACTTGAGCTCGGGATAAAGGGAGCTGGAGAAGACCCTTAGTGTTGGTCCACCCTCTCCCTGGGGGTAAGCCCCGAAAGGGGCAGGTGTTTTGGATAAGTTGAGGGGAATGCCCAGGGCAGAGGGGCTCTTGTCCACTGTCCTTTGAGAATTTTCAGAGAATGTCAGGGTAGCCTTGGAGTAAGAGAAAGGACTCTGCGTGACCAGTCTAAGAAAGGAGTGGTGAAGTTCAAAATACTCAGCATCAGAAAGGATGCTGAGCCTGGGGCTGGAGCAGTCTTGGAGGCTACCTGCTGTGCTAGGTGGGAATCCTTTGGTTTCTGGTGTGGGAGGGACCTGGGATATGCCAGAGGCAGCTGGAGTGGAGGAGGGGATACCCAGGGGACTTGGGCAGCAGCTCTTTACTAACTGGGGGGAAACACTGAATTATTTTCATAACACAGCATACCACCTGAGTCTCAGTCCTCCTTCTGTGCCTCCCTTAGTTTTTGGGTGGTCTAAACATTGAACTAATGGCCAGTGGGCCTGTTTTAGAACCTAATTTGGTGGGGGCAAGGTGGGCTCGGTGTCTGGAGTCTAGAAAGAGGACAAGATAAAAACCCTCGAGATGGCCACAGAACCACAGAGAGCTGACATGACACTGGGCTTCAGTGAGTCTGCAGGAGGCCACACCAGTTCATCAGCAACCAGCCTTAGCTGGAAGCCAGTGGATGTTCTCAATGACAGGCCCAAGCCACTCAGCTCCCAGCAGATGCCAGCAAGCACTGGACCATTGAGTCTCCCCACCCTTATCTCAGCCATCGTATTTGGGAGGAGCAGGGAGAGGAGAGGAGGAATCTGAAAGCTTGAGCAATTATACAAAAGAGACCAAGTCTCTCTGAACTCAAGAAATCTCAAGAGAATATTTAAATTGTTGAATTAGACCAAGTTTTGAACTGGATTGAACTAAATTTAGTTCGGCACTCCGACCCCTCCCCCCTCAGTTGATTTACAAAGAGTAAAGAAGCTCTGTTTTCCTTGCATAGTCTAAGGGGTAGTGGGAGGGAATTTGTGACCTTGTTGCAGAAGATGGTGGTGATTTCAGGAGAGAGGAGTCAGACAGACTCAAGTTCATATCCCAGCTCTGCCACGTGCAGGCCACCGGCCACGTGATGAGAGCAAGTCACCTCCGCTGTCTGATGTCAGGATCCTTCTCTGCAGAAAGGGCATAATGACAGCTCTTAAGAGGGTAGCTGTGGGATCAAATGAGATGACCCGGCACTGTATAAGTGCTTAGTCAATGAAAGCTGCTGTAATTGCCAGCACTTCTCCTGAGCAGGAAGCACGCAACTGGACTTCTCCACATAATTTCCGTCTTACAGAACATCTGCAAGACCGATACAAAGAATTCCCATCGATCCTTCACCCAGGTTTTCCAAATATTAATATTTTACTACTTTAACCTTATCATTTCCTCTGTCTGTGTGTGTGCATATATATAACTATATATAAATTTAGTAATATATTTATAGTTATATATACATCTCAGACGATGATCCTTTATACCTAAATACTTCAGTGGATTTTTCCTAAAAACAAAAGCATTTTCTTATACCACCACAGTGCAGCAATAAAAATCAGGACTTAACATTGACAAATTCTATTGTCTAATCTTCAGATTAGCAAAAGAAAATCCGTGGATCAGGCATTACAGTCATTTGTTATGTTTCTTTGATCCCTTCTAATCCAGAACTGCTCAGTCCTTCATGACACTGACGTTTTTGGAGAGTGCAGGCCAGTTGTTTGGTGGAGTGTCCTTCAGTTTGAGTTTGTCTGATGTTTCCTCGTGACTGGATTCAGCTTAGGCCTTTTTTTGGCGGGAACACTACAGACGCGAGGCGGTGTGGCCCTCAGTGCATCATGGCAGAGGCAGCCACTGGCCTTCTGAGGGCTGAACCAAGACAAAACAGACGAGATGGTTTTCTGAAGCTTAAACCTCACAGGTGCAGGGCTGTCTCCCGCCCAGTGTCCTAACAGACCCTCATCGAAGCCTATATCCAACCTCCCGGGGCATAAGGATGCACCTAACAATCCCAGGAGACAAGGCAATTCTAGGGAGGGAGGTTCTCAAGATGAGGCTCCCGAGCCTGGAAAGGAAAGGGGCTTGTCCAAGGCCGTGCAGCTGCCAAGGCCCAGAGCCAAGACTGGACTTAAATCTTTGGACCTCAAGTCAAGGCTATTTCCAGAGTAGAACAATAGCCACACGTGGGTAGGACAGGCTAGTGTGAAGGGGGAGCTTTGTGAGGAAGGGAGCTCCCTGGCACCGGAGGTATGCAAGGTGAGCCGGGTGGGTGGGGGAAGCCAGAGGAGGGGTTTTTGCTCTGCATGGGTGCTCAGAAATCCTATTCAGAGCACAGACCCTCGCCAAAGAGTCACTGAATGGCTGAGCTTATGAGGATAATAGAATCAGCCTTTAGTAGGTGCCGACTGCTCGCTTCATTCTCCCAGTCGTATGACGTTATCATCCCCTCCTTTTCTGTAAGGCAACTAGAAGCGCTTAGTTAAGTGAGCTGCGCAGGTCACATGCCCAGTAAGCTGGGACTCCACCCCTGTCCTCTGGCACCTCATTTTGTCTTCCAGACTCACCCTTATTTGTACTTTTAAAATAACATTTTTTTTTCCTACTTGTAGAAGTAATAATATGATCACCTGTGAAAACTTCGAAAACAGAAGCACAAACAAGAAAGCAAAATCCTCAGTGTTTTCACTCCACACAAATACCCACAAATAAAACAGGACGCAAAACGTGACTTACAAATGAAATGGATCACACCATACATATTTTTTTGTGTCCTTTTTTTTTTACTTATTGAAGATCATGAACATTTCCTAGTCTTCCAAAACAAGATTTTTAGCACTAAAATGCTTCCTGAAATTTCTTTAAAAATTTCCAATTTTTATTACTTGAGTTATACGATTAGAACACATTGTGGAAAAATAAAACATGGATGAGCTTCAAAATATTCAATATTCTTTCAAAAGCCCTGTTAGCTTTTGGTACATATTTTGTCAGGATGGAGATAAAAAAAGTTATATATATTAAAAAAGTTATATATATATTTTAAAGAGATTGCAAACCAGTGTGGGTGTATATATAATATATATTATATTCATATATATATATGCGTTTTCACATGCATCAGGCATTCTTCTATTAGAGTATGGATTAGGGGCATTTCTCATTCTGCTGATCTGGTGGATCCCCTTGGGCTTACAAGGAAAGAAGAGAACAAGGTTACAGTGAGGGATCTTGTAGGAGTTCAGGGTATGATTTGGTGACTCCCCACACCCTCCCACCCTGGGTTTTCAATGGCAGAGTGTTGAGTGGAATTGCTTCTTGTGCCAGGGCTACACTGAAATCTGAGAGCCAGGCAACAATCGCATATGGCCCAAATTACTCTTTTTTTTGTGAGGAATATTGGCCACGAGCTAACATCTGTTGCCAATCTCCCTCTTTTTGCTTGAGGAAGACTATCCCTGAGCTAATACCTGTGCCAATCTTCCTCTATTTTGGGTGTGGCATGCTGCCACAGATGGCTTGACCAGCAGTGTGTAGGTCCACGCCCATGAACTGTGGGCCACTGATGCCGCGAAGCGCGCAAACTTAACCACTACTGCCACCGGGCTGGCCCCCTAAATCACTCTCGAAAATGCCTTAGGAAGGTGCCTTTCTGGAGCCTGCCATACACAGCAAGCTTCCCACCGTCAATGGAACACATCATGTTTGCTGATTACACCAAAGAAAGTAATTGGTTATGTTTAGGGGCCGTTTTTACGAAAAACAATTCTCTCTCCACGGTGGAATCACACAACGCAGTGTGATGCCTTCATTGCCAGGTGCTTTCCCAGCCGGGGAATCGAGACAATCCCCTCACCCACTCACCCAGGCACTGGATCAAGGGGGGTTCCTCCGGCTTACTTGGACTGCTATTGCTCATATTTGCAATACATATACCTGAGAAAGGCCTCATTTCCAGAATGTGTAAAGAACTCCCACAATTCAATAAGAAAAAGACAATCTACTAATAGAGTGGGTGAATATTTAAGCAGACAGTTTACAAAGGAAGGTATACAAATGGC